GCTATCTACACAACGTTTGTCTTATGCACGAGACATGTGGCGTTTGTGACAGCTCTGGTACTCTTTGAACTGTGTTTATGATCCCTGTCGGGTTTTTATCTGTTAATATATACGGGCAGTATGACATTTACTGAGATGTACATATATACAAAAATAACAAGATTTGAGACATTTTCAAACCATTTGATATGTTACGAACACTCCCGAATCAACACGGGAACTCTCATCAGTTCCGGACATAGCGAGGATTGACAGATTGAGAGTTCTGCCTGATTTTATGGATCGTGTGGTGTATGGCTGTGCTTCGTCTGTTGACTGCACTAATTGTATTCTCTTCTCCTGCGGCTGTGATACTTTGTTCGCACAGGTGGGACATTCGATGGGCGGCCATCTGGTAACCTACTTTATGAAGTATGTCTCATTGAAGTTGGGATACATTTACGTTCAAGCCTTAGGCTTGTTGTATATGTAGTTCATATAGTATGTCTCATTGATGTTGGGTTATATTTACGTTCAAGCCTCAGGCGTGTTGTATATGTAGTTCATATAGTATGTCTCATTGGTCTTGGGTTATATATGTTAAGGCCTTAAAATAATACAGTCCAGCTATAACGACTACGGTAACATAACTGTAATATTACAGGTTGACTATAAAGACCTCAGAAACATTTACATATTTATATAGTTACGACTACAGTAATATAGTTCAATTATAAAAACCATCATATTAAAACTATAGCGATATGGTTTACAATGGTTCCTCAGTACACCAGGGAAAGACCGATTCCCTGTCCCCTGCAAGCCTTCGTGCACCTAAGGTTCCAGGGTTTAAAGTTTAGGGTTTTAGGGTTTTAGCGCACTACAATTAGCTCATCCGTACGGTCTCCCCTGTTCTTGTAGGTGGGTGGAGAGTGATCTCGGCGGCAAAGGGGGTAAGGGCTGGGTAGCCAAACACCTGCACGCATTCGTGGGCTTGGCGTCTAGTGCGTTGGGTATGCCCAAGTCAGTGGGTGCACTTCTCAGTGGCGAGTTTAAGGACACCAGCGCCTTGGGTATGTATGTGTGATGTGTGTCGATGGGATATAATGTGTTAGAACAATGTGTGTCTTATCAATGTGCATGTATAGTAGCAAGTATAGTACTAGTTATGATATATGACTGTGTAGTATGATAGTAAATGGTATGTTGGGGTACGTAACTGTATGTTCTAATACACTTCTGTTTGTACTAATGCATAAACGTATATTAGAATACTTTTAACACATCTGTATGTTTTAATACTTAAACGTATACTATGATACGTATCTGTATATTCTAACTCAAATCTGTATATTCTAACTCAAATCTGTATGTTCTAATACACAAACGTACATCATGATACGTACCTGTATATTCTAACATATATGTATGTTTTTATACACAAACGTATATAATGATACGTAACTGTATATCCCAATACATATCTGTGTATATATTACAGGTGGCTTGAACCATCTCATCGATAGTAACACGCTTCTGGGCCGTGCGGCTCGTGCGAAACTACTGCAGACATGGCGGTCTATGTATCAAATGATGCCTAAAGGTGGCGACGCACTCTGGGGTAAGGGTGTATGTAGTTGAGTGTATAATGTGTGTTGTGTGTGTGTGGGTATGTTTGTTTTTTGTTAGCGTGTATCTGTGTTTATTATATATGTATATATATATATATATATATATGTGTGTGTAGGTATGCTTGTATGTATGTATATATATATGTATGTATGTACGTACGTATGTATGTTTGTATCTATGTATGTACCTATGTATGTATGCATGTATGTATGGC